TATATATATATATATATATATATGTATATATATATCTATATTCTTTTAATATTTGAAATATAATTGTTTAGATTGAACCTGTATCTAGACTATGCGAATTTTGTAGAATCAATGAATAAGAGTATTTTCTTTCATATTTTTTCTAGTAACTCTACGTATTCATCTCAATATTTTATATTGATAATATAAATTATATATATATATATTAATTATCCAACATTTATATCTACAAAATACTATCAGTTTCACAATTATCTTATAAAATATTTTTTAATCATAAAGGTATTCGATGATACATAAGATTCATGATGCCTCTCATCATTTTAACTATTTTATTTTTACTCTATGAATGATATCTTAATCGATCTCTCTATCTTATTAAATAATTGAACCAAGATACCTAAAACTTTTTATTCATCCAACTCAACTAAAATTTTTAATCAATTTATCCTATTTATTTATAGAATTACTAAAATTATAGTTTATATATTCAATTTTAGTCATACTCAATCTAACATTTATTTTCTAAAATTATCCCCATAGCTCAAGCTTATATTTAATTCTGTCTAGGTTCTCGTCAACTAAGATAATATTATTGATAAATAACATAACTCAAAGGAGGTCTATCATATAAGTGATTAATTAAGTTATCCATTATCAGAAAAGTTAGGGACTCAATATATATCCTTGAAGTAATCCTACATTAATAAGAAGCTTACTAATACTCTCTATAGTTCTAATGCTTATCATATATATCTTTAATAATATCAATATAATTAATGAATATTTTTTTTTCTAAAATCCATCGTAATAAATCTCTAATAAACCTACGATACTTTCACAAAATTAATAAAAATCATATACAAATCTTTCTTTTAAGGTATATCATAATAATTTGTTATTAAGTTATATCTCAGTAAATAAGTTATTGAGTTTTAAGTTATATCTCAATAACATAAAACTCATAAATGATAAATCAACATCATTAATCAAGTGTCATATGTTAGTTAACTCATAATTAACTATAATGTTGCTTGAATCGATCCAACTGATTTGAACTAGACTCAGTTCAATCAGAACCTAATTGAACCAATTTATGATCCTTATAAGACTAATCCAGAATCACACTCAACTAGTCTAACTTAGACTTAGTTAGGTCCAATTTGAGTCAAACAAGTTTAATATAGTTTAAATCAATCTGAAATCATCCTAAACTAAACTGATAAAAGACCCGTTGATGCTGTGGTGTTAGCTCTAGCCCACATCTGTATTGGGCCGCATCTGGGCCGCAGGCTCTAGGCCGAGTCATCTTTGGCAGGCCGAAATGGGCCACGCAAGACTAGGTTGTGCCATCGACTAACTCTAGTCCGTTAGATTGAGCTAAGCCCATACTGCTACTGCACTCGCGTGAATCCTGTTCGGAGCTCGAGTTGAACCGATATCAAACCTATGTCGAACATGTCCACTGCAGGTTGCCGCCTTGATTGGGTCTAACCCAGTCCGACCAACGGTCTGACTTGAGTCAGACATGAGCTGATCTAATCAGATTACTTCCCTTTTGTTATAACAAAACTTTAAAATTTCAAAATAAATCATATAATAGCTCAAAAATTCCATAATAATCAACCAAGAATTCCAAAGATTATAAATAATTTAATTAAATATATAAAAATAATTTATAATATCATAAAACTATTTTCCATGAATTAAATATTCATAAATAGTATTTCCAAATTTAGAAAATTAATAAATCATTAATAATTCAAATAAAATCATATGAACATATTTCATGTTAGAGAAAATATATCCTGTATTATTCAGAACGGATATATAGTCAATACGATTACAAAACTATTTTCCATGAATTAAAAATATTATTCAAGCTAGTAATTCCAAATTAATATATATTTTACTAAAAATTTCAGAATAAATAAATAAAATTCTGGACATACAAAATTGTTTATTGAAATAAAATGTAATAAAAAAGGATTCAAAATCTATCTTCATGAATTAAAATTAATATTAATTAATAATTATATATATATATATTCCCATAATCATTACAAATATATGAAAAGCTTAGAGTTGCCAGAGTATGTTTTAATCCGATACTATCATTGGTGATCTCTCTACCAATGACCAGAAAAGATAACGATATTTGGCATGAAAAGCAGCGATATGCTTTAGTGGATTGGTATTACTGTCAAAAGCCTCCAATGATGGGAGACAAAAGTTGATCGAGATCGACTCTTGAGTATCATTGGTGAATAATGACTGACCTGATGTGGGGTTGGTCGACCCTTCCTCTCTAGATTATTGGAATTATCATCGCATTTCTTATAAGTGCTGATCAATTTGTCATAGTTGGATCCTCAAGAAATCATTTGTCGAATTTACCAACTGTATTTGAGATTCAGATGGAACAAAATGGTAGTGTGCCGATCCATTGAATTTTGTAGTTGGGGAACAAGGTACTTGCTCAATCCTTCTCGATGAGGTCTTATCCCGACCCATAACACTTTCACTTATGGGGGCAATAGTCAACCTTTCCATACATTGATGCATCAACCTTAGCACAAACGCCAATGAGATATTGGCATCCACTCAACGACTCGGGTGTAACCTTGAGTCACCTGCTCGTCTCCCGTTGAAGCATTCTTAAACCTCACCCAATAAATACAAACGCTAATGGGTATAGTGCAAATTGTTACTTCGCTCTTGCCACAACTAACCCAACAAGTGATGCTACCACTTCAACCGTAATAAGCAAATTAATTAACACTGACACCAACGCCCATCGGGGTTCCCCCACTCGATGCGATACCAATATTTCAAGAGCGCTTGAGACGCATTTAGTGGTTGGTAGGCGTATGTTCCTAAGACATCAAGCCTTTCTTCTAGCACAAAAATATTGAGGAAAAATATCATTGACATCTTGGTTAGCCTGATATGGTTTAAACTAATATGCATAGGATTATTCGAGGTATCTTCGAGGTGAAAACACTTATCTCCTTGGGCACCATTTGCACGAAGATCGATGACGAAAGAGGTTTCGAGCTAATCCCTCTAATGCTTAAATTAAAAACTTAAAGGTATATAAGTGTGGACATGAGTAGTCAAAGGAAGTCCCTTCTTTCGCTTTTATGTCTGATTGTAAAGAGTACGAAAGAAACTTGTTGTTATCTTTCTTCTCGTAAATAATAAGAAGGAAGCTTATGATTATCTTTTAACGTCATAAATAGTAAAAAAAATATTTCATCTTATCCTCGTTCATTGATCATTGGTGTATGATGTTTTAGATGATTAACCGATAATATACCCTCTATCAGATTAGACCTTCATCGTCTTTATTAATAGACTTATAATCACTAGTCGATGGATGGTTAATGATAAAAAATGGTGTTTTAATGTGTAATTGCTATTTTGTGGCATAGTTCAGCTCAAGATTACGGGAGAATTTACTGTTAAGATGACTAAATTTACATGGCACATTTTTTTTACCCCACAGCAAAAATTAACTAAGCAAAAAGTGAAAGTGAAATGGAGTTACATTGCCATCGGTGTCTTCTTGTTCTCCTTCTCGCTCTCCCCCTCTCTATCATTCTGTTTCCCTGGCGTCGGTGGACGGCGGCGGTGGCGCGCCAACAGTCGTGCCATTCGTGAAGCGCTGCAGCTGCAGCATTCGCGCGTAGCACCCATCCGGGTGGTGTTTGAGCAGGTGCGAGTGCGGCCCCTGCTCCACCACCCTCCCCTCGTCGATCACCGCGATCACGTGGGCGTTCCTTATCGTCGCAAGCCGATGCGCCACCACCACGGTCGTCCGTCCCACGCCGGACCGCTCGAGCGCCTCCTGCACGCTCCTCTCCGACTCCGCGTCCAGCGCACTCGTCGCCTCGTCAAGCAGCATCATCGGCGCCTTCTTCACCAGCGCCCGCGCGATCGCTATCCTCTGCCGCTGTCCCCCTGAGAGCTGCACCCCGCGCTCTCCCACCCATGTCCGGTAGCCATCCGGCAGCCCTGATATGAACTTGTCCGCGTTCGCCATCGTCGCCGCCTCCACCACCTCCGCCTCCGTCGCTGCTTCTCTTCCGTATGCAATGTTCTCCAAGATCGTCGCAGCGAACAGACATGGCTCCTGCGGCACCACTGCGATCGCCTGCCGCAGCGACTTCAAGTTGTACTTCCTGATGTCCTTCCCGTCGATGAGCACACGCCCCGACGTGGGCTCGTAGAACCGCTGAATCAATGAAATGACGGAGCTTTTCCCGCATCCGCTCGGGCCAACAAGTGCGAGCATCTTCCCGGCTCGAGCTCGCAGGGTGAGGTCGCGGAACACAGGCATGTCCGGGCAAGACGGATAAGCGAAGTCGACATGTTTGAGCTCGACCTCCCCACGGAGGCGGTCGGAGACGGGAGCGGCGTCGGGATCATCCGGCTCTACTTCGGTCTTACGGTCAATTACTTCAAACACTGATCGCATGGCGCGCCCACCCTTGATGAAGTCAGGTGCCAGTGTCAGGGCCTCCGCAGCACCATTAGCTGACACCATGAGCACCATGAAGACGCGGATGGTCTTGGAGAAGTCGGAGAAGCCATGTTTCACCAGCCATGAAGCATACCAGAGGCCGAGAGCATATGAAGCATAGAGAAGGAACTGGGCGACACCGAAGCTGCCGCCTGCTACCTGGCCCTTCCAGAAGCAGCGCTGGAGCGGGCTTTGCAGGTTCGCTGCAAATAGCTGGGTGATCTTTTCCTCCGAATTGAAAGCCGCTACCGTGCGCACGTTGGCCACTGCCTCGCCGGCAATCTGCGTGGCCTTGGCGTGAGCCACTTCTAAGTCTCCCGAAAAGCCCTTCATGAACATTTTCTGCATCACAGTTTTCGTTGATTTAGTCTTGGACGTTCATATGAACTCTAGCCTTAGATTCAGAGAACAGAGATGTTATACTACCTGCAGAACTGTGGCAGCAACCACGACAGGGAAGACGGCAATTAGAACGAGAGCTAGCCGCCACTCGAGGACGAAGCCAGCGGTGAAGGCAACAAGCATGAGCGAAGTGTTCTGCACGATGACGGAGATACGGTCACCAATCGCAGACCTCACGTTGTGAGCATCCGCCGTGAGTCTACCGGCGATCCTGGCGCTGCCGTTCTCCTCCCTGTCAAACCACGCAATCTCATTCCGAAGAACAGAGGTGAGCATCTTCTCCCGAACCCGTTTGGTCAAATTTTCCCCGACCACATCCCAGAAGAGATGCTGCATGGTGTTGAAGAGGAGAGCAGCAGAGGACACACCGAGCATGAGGTAGCAGTACTTGCCGATCTCCCGCCGCATGTAGTTGTAGTCTTGAGCATAGTAGGCACTAAGAACAGCACTGAGGACGTACGCAAAGAAGGCACTCATGGAGCCGCACACCATGGAGCCGATCGAGCCTAAGAGCGCGTAGGTCCATTCCGGTGAGTTCATCTTGGCGAGGCGCAAGAACGAGCTGGCCTGGTCTCGGAATGCAAGCTTCTTCGTCCGGTGGCTCGGATCAATCGAGATGCTGAACTCGGACGTGCTGAAGTCGGAGAGACGGCGGGAGTACGGCGACCGGCCATATGATGAGTTCCGGGTAATGATGGGGGAGCTCACCGAGTTTCTCGCACTTGAAGGCCTAATAGAGAAAGAAACAAGGAAGTGAGCAGAGCAAGTTGATCGAGTTCACCTACAATGAGTTCGTCGTACCTTGCGCTGCTCCTCCTGGCACTGATGAGGGCTGCCTCATGGGCCTGCTCCTGCATCCGAATTAGCTTCGCGTAAAGACCATCATCACCGTTCGCCATGAGGTCTTCGTGCGTTCCGATCTCGGTGACGCTCCCTCGCTGGAGAACCGCGACGAAGTCAGCCTTGCGGATGGTCGAGAGGCGGTGGGCAATCACGAGCGTGGTGCGGCCGATCATGAATCGGTCGAGGGCCTCCTGCACGAGTTTCTCAGACTCGGAGTCTAGAGCGCTCGTGGCCTCATCTAGGAGGAGGATTGCAGGGTTCTTCAGCATTGCTCTGGCAATGGCGATGCGCTGCCTTTGGCCACCGGAGAGCTGCAGCCCCCTCTCCCCCACCTGCATTTTGAATGAGAATGAGTTGGCCAGCCAGTCTTGTGGTGGCAGTGAATGAGTTACCCAGATTACTCCAAACAAGCAGAATGTAGGAGCATAAATGGCTGAAGACATTACAAGCAGAGATCAGGAACAGCAAATGAAGAAAGCGAAGCCTACACGAAAGGACAGCGTTCTTTTCCAGTAGACAGGAAACAGACCTGGGAGTCATAGCCATCTCTCAGCTTCACGATGAAAGAATGAGCATTGGCAACTCTGGCAGCTTCTTCTATCTCTGCCTGAGTGGCATCTTCCCTGCCCAGAAGAAGGTTCTCTTTAATGGTGGTTGCAAAGAGGGCAGGTTCCTGGCTCACAAGCCCAATCTGTTGCCTGAGCCATCTCAGTTTCAAGGTCTTTATGTCATGCCCATCGAACAAAATTTGACCTAAGAGATGAGAATAATGAGTAGCTGTAGGTAGCAGATTTATGAATTTAAACAGTAGATTGAGGTTTTACCTGAAGTGGGATCATAGAACCTCTCAATTAGGGAAACCACGGTGCTCTTGCCAGAGCCGCTGCTCCCAACCAATGCAAGAGTCTTCCCCGCAGCAACAGTCAGGGAGAAGTTGCAGAGCACAGGGACGTCCGGCCTCGACGGGTAAGCAAAATCCACGTTGTTCAACTCCACAAGCCCCGTGATGGCACCCAACTCGATCCCGGTGTCGTTCTTCCGATCAATGCTCGGCTCGTGCTCGATCGTCTGGTATATCTTCGCCGCTGCCACTCTGGCCTTCGCAAATGCAGCCATGCTCGGAGCTGATTGCCCCAGAGCTCTGCCAAGCATTACAGTTCCATGATAAGAGCGCTTGCAGAGAAGCAAATGAAGGTAGGAACGCCTTTGTCTTACAGTCCTCCAATCATGACGGCGAACATGGTAGAGATGGCAAGCCCGCCATTGGTGTGGTGGTGGCGTACGAGATGCCCTCCGTACCAGAGCAGTAATGCATAGCAGCAGAAGACGGTGAAGTAGGTTGCTCCCAATCCCAAACCCTTGGCGAATCCACTCCGGTAGCCAATCTTCTGAGCGACCCTCAGGGCGGAAGAGTAGGCCTGGAGAACGCTCGACTCGCCGACGAAGGACTGCACCGTCCTGATTTGCGCCAGCGCCTGAGATCGACGGAGGAAATGAGGATCGCGTAGGGACCGATGAGCAAAACTCGTCGAGAGGGATATGAACATGAGGAGAAGACCTGCTCTGCGATGTTGCTGGCTCGAACCAGAGCATCCTGGCTCTTGGAGGAGAGCTTGGTCAGCGTGAAGGTGTGGATGCCGCCGATGATGGCGATGAGGGGGACGACAGCCAGCGTGACGAGCGCTAGCTGCCACGCCGCGGTAAAGCCCACCACAAAGCCGGACACGAAGGTGGCCATGTAGTGGATGAAGTTCCCCAGCTGCAAGTAGACCACCACTACGCATATCAACATTTCGATAGACTGCAGACTATGTAAATAGAGGCGCACCTTCTCGCTGATGGCGTCCTGCACGATGACCGCGTCGGCGTTGATGGCGTAGACGACGTCGGAGGTGCGCACCTCAGTGTCGAAATAGCGCACGTCCTGGTTCAGCGCGGCCTCGAGGTATTTAATCCTCATCTGTGTGGATTGCCGCTCCCCCGTCCACATCCAACAAGATATCTCTGTTAGCAGTCAACAGTTCCACCCTCAACAATCCACAGTCCATCCTCTTTACGATACAGAAGGCGGTAGTATGAAAACTCACCAGCCCAAGAAGATGCCCATATCGCCGCCCCGACCACGAGAAAGTAGAAAGCATACTGCAGAATCGTCAACAAAGATCAGGCCTACGAACACAATCAAAATGAAAGGAACAGAGACGGATGCCGTGGTGGAGGAGAGAGAACCTTGACGACTTCTCGAACCATGGTGTCGGGATCGCCGGCGTTGGACCCGAAGGAGTTGACGAGATTGGCGAAGAAGCGGAGGAAAATGGGGAGGGAACTGCCATGAACAATGGCCCCGGCGGTGCCGACAGCCATCAGCAAGCAATCCAGCCCGTCGGCGAAGCGAAACAGCTGGCTGAATCCGACCGTCGGGGCCTCCGGCGCCGGCTTCACGTCTTCCTGCCTGCTAGCCACCGTTGCCGGTTGTGGGTCTTCCACCTTGACGTTACCATTAGCGGCCTCCATCTCACGGCCAGAGGCAGAAGAGCTACTAACAGGAACAGCAAGAGAAGCAGCTAAGCTCGTAGCATCAGCAGCGGCGACAAGCCCACCACCACCTCTTTCCGCCACTTCTATCACCAACTGGTTCGCCTGATGATGGACTTCAGGGTTGGCAGCAGAATGGGGAGGGGAGCACAGGTGGAAGGCCTGCAGCTCAGGTTGGCGCCATTCCTCCACCACCACCCTCCGCTTTATCATCTCCTCCTCATGCCCATAACCCTGCTGTGACATTGTTCGGAGCAGACGCTACATGCAATGAATTTGCCACCCCGACCTCTCTCTCTTTCCGCAGTATGCGTGTTTAGTCCCCTGTCTCTGCTGCCCTCTTTATTGCTGCCATGTTTAACTACCTTTCACAGATTACTCGAAACATAAATCTTTCTTTAATCAATCGTAACTTGCAGAAGAAGTGTGGAATGGCATTAAGTAATCTTCTGTTCATAATCCTTTTCCTACAACGAAGTTAGGGTGACTGTAGCAGTGAAAGGAACAGGCAGCGTGTTGTCCCGACACAAGGACTTGTGCTGCCTGAAATGGTCAGTAACTCGGGAGTGAGTGTTTTGACCGAAACTTGTGGGAGCTATTTTTCCTGTGTGTTTTGACTTCTGCTCGACCGAGGGCAACCTTTTCTTTAAGATAAGAAGACTAGGGAGTGAGGAAGAACAGTGGTCTTAGTACTCACCATTGACTGTAAGCCTGTGTTTCTGCTGCCATGGGTCAAAGGAAGAGAGAGAGACCGAAGACATATGTGTCAAGCAAGCTCAATTAAAAACTGGAGCAGAAGAAGCGTGAACACTACTACTTCTCAAAGCTTCAGTCTTGTGGTAAGCATGCATGCGTTTCTTCTCCTCCCCTTAAAAGCGGCCATTTTTAATACTCTTTTTCTTGTACTGATCTCCCCTGCTTGTTTCCTGCTACAAGACTTCTTCTGTATAATTAACGATTTCGATGAGTGACACGTACATCATAACATAACAAGGTTATCTGACCAGAAAAATGGGGAAGAACCAATTCTCTAGACTATGAACCAACATAACATGACTCTGATGTAATTGCATTATTCCATCATCGACAAATTACCATAATCTTTTCTTATTATCACAAAAAGATTCGGTCAATTTTCCGGTTATAATACGATATATGAACCCATCATGTCCACGTGTACTAAATTGACTCGAAGTAAGACGAAACATTGATAGCAATGCGAGGGTTGTCGGTGTTGCCACCAATGATTTGATGGCACGTACGTGGGAGCGGCAATCTCGTACGTCGAAGCCGTGATTTGTGGTATTGTTAGGCCCGACGTCCGCGTCATGGTCTTGTGAAGATTATGAGAACAAGGATTCGTGACTTAGTTGATGATCGAATGCAAAAATTGTATGGCGAATCGATGACATTTCGAAGACTCGGAGAAAATAATTGAGATGGAGAAGGTGCATTGAACAAAGCACAAGTAATCTCTTACATTGGGCACGACAGGTTTGGATACAAGAAGAAGTTGTGGGATTGGAAATAGTACATTCCATAGTGCTGTGCTGTACAAGAGTCAATGCATGTCCTGGTGGTATTCTCTTTCCTTTGTTGATCATCTTGTAAAGAGAAGTGATTTAGTGGTAATCATGGAACTAAAAGAACAAAAGTACAAGATGCTGCTGCACTGTGAGTGGAAGATGATGCTCATGTGAAGGAAAGCACTGATCAACACAAGTAGCACTTAAGCAGTTGTAAAGCACAGTCAATAGATCCAATCTTCAAATTATTGCATGCATTAGCCACACTAATATTTGATTAACACATAATTATCATTTTTGGCAGTACTTCCATCATCTTTGTGGTCTGGCAAAGAGCTCCAATAACAAGTCAAAAAGAGAAAAGGAAGATTTCTTCTCGCTGGAAAACTGAAGAAGAGGGCATGGCATCCACCATGTCTCCATTCTCTTGGATCTGAGGTGATCTCTTATAATTTAAATAACCAGCATCATCAGTGGGACAGCGCTCAAAGCACACTCAAAGCTTCTGAAGAAAAGTGCAGCACATGTGAAGGACACTATTATTTGGTAGCTTTGTCTTTCTCATGCATCAGTGTGCACAAGTCTTCACTTGTCTTTTGATTTCATGGTGCCTTTTCTCCATGGCTTACAATGATTACAGGGTGAACTGACAGGGTTTTGTTCATGTGTGGGTGACCTAAAAGTCAGTATTCATGGATCAATGCAATTTCAGGCTGTTTGGTGTACTGGTCAAAGCATGTCATTTTCTCGCATGGCTGATATGTAAAGGTGCACGGCTATCATTCAGTCACATCAATCATAGTCCATAGGTTCAAACTGTTTTATGGTAGAGACAAATAGCAAGATGATTTCAGATGCAATGTGGGCCTGAGAGGTGAGAGATTGCTTCAAGTCAATATGAATCATCAAGTAGGAAAATATTTCTTACTCGGGGAAGGCAACAGTAGTCGTCTTCTTCCTTACGGACCTAAAAACACAGGCCATTTAGCAGTAGGATCATGAAAACAATCTATAAGCAGGTTCAAGATATAATACACATCAGTTCACTTCATGTCCTCATGACCTAACTAGATTGAACTTAGCTCAAGACTTGGCCTTTCCTCTTAAACAAATGCATGATCACAGCTCCCACTGGCTTCATCCGACTCCTAAAGCTCATGAGACAAATGCCAAGTGATACTGTTTTTCTTACATCATGTAAGCATGACAACCGTGTTTAGGTTGTGAAACCACCCCATCGCTCCACACTGGAGTGCCACATGACAGTCATGAAGAAGAAGGTTCTTTTCTAATGTGTGATTGACAGTGATACTAAATCCACAGAGACATCGTCTTTATTTACTTTAGCTGCAGCACATAGACCCTTAGCTTGCTCGACAAGGTGAGACATCCATGATGAGAGAAAATATATCGCAAGACAAAAAGTGCGCAATGTGATCAATGATGGATGATGGTTGTTTCTCTAGTGGAGTTGGTCACCATGTGAGTAAGTAGAGGCCACCATTGCACACCTTTAAAGTGCCTTTGGGAAGATGGGAGGGTTTTTGTCCCTTGCATGTGGACGTGTCATTTTATTCTTCCACTTCCCTTCACTGCTCTCCTTATCTTATGACCTGCACTGCACTGGCACGAGAGGGGATTGAGCTTTTAGGTGGAACTGCGTTACAGATCTAAAGTACTACAGTTCAATGGTAGCTTCTTCTTTTCTTTTTATTGTTTTCCCTTTGTTTTCTTTCCAATGAGAGTCTTTGGCCTGAAAGCACTTCCATTTCTTCTTATCTTTTCCATTCATGTTCTATATAGTTTTTGAGACATGTTTTTATGGGATCTGCAAGCACAAGCTTATTTTATAATAGGAAAAGCCTGAAAAGAGACATAGGAATTACTAAATATAAGCAAAGTTTTATTTTATTTTTCGATGATTCTCTTAAAGAACTCTTTCGATGATTCTCTTAAAGCTTGGTTTTTTTGTTTTTCTAACAGAGTTCAATCATTTTTTTTTTTTTTTTTGTGGTTGAAGAGAAAAATTAAAGTTAGTATACACATTATACAGACGTATTTTTCTAACAGAGTTCAATCCCTGTGGTTCTATTCTTTCTTATTATTTTTATGTTTGGTTCAAGAACAGTTCAAGAAAAGAACATATCCCCCATTCTTCTTCATGTAGTTAGTTCAAAAGAAAAAGGAAAGAAAGAGTGTGTAGATGTTCTTCATATCTAATGTTTTGTATTTGAGAATAGAACAGTTTGTTTGTCCTACTTAACTTTTTCTTAATAATTGAACGATCTTCTTTATCCTACTCAGCACTCATTCGAATCTATCCATGCAAAAGTTGCTAAAGATGGTTCCATTGCGTGATGAAGAAATCCAATCTTAAATATTCTATGATTGAAAAACAAAGTCATCTTCGAAATATTCTATTGCATTGAATAAGAGAACAATAAAAATTTATTACCCTTGAAAATTGTTGTTTAGCTAAACAAGAATAAATACACAATGGAAATGTAAAGAAGATTACCATATTTTTATAATGAGAGCAAAGTATTTTGATTTTGTTTTTTACTAATAATCTTTTTCAATATGTCTATTTTTATAATGAGAACAAAGAGGAATTCTTTGTTATCTTCATTCGAGGTCCTTTTGACTTTTATTTGATCGACCTCATCTCTTACCTCACGGATCATCCATTAATTTAAAGATATGTTTACTTTTTGTTCGTAAATTAAAACCTAACCCATTAATTTATCAATAGATGATGTATTTGTACATTTAACTTCTTCTATAATAGTAAAAATCATATCAAATTTAGAAAAAAAACTTCATAAAACCTTTTCTACTACTATTTGATATTTTAGGTTTTTACTATAAGACCTCGTATGATTCACAATAAAAGAAACTTAAAAAAAAATCAATGATTAATTCAAAATCTTTAAATTCGATTTGAAGTTTTTACCTTGTTTATACCTCCAAGCACATTTTAATATTTTTCAAGCTTATGTTAATAATGATGCCAACATAATTTGATAAAATATGGACTAATCTATTACGTATTATAACATATGGAGAGCTCTTATATCTTTATACATATTTTCATTCATTTGATCTTTTTAATCTTTAGTAATATTGAGATCTTACATATCATAGTCAACAAAACTATAATATACCAAATTTCATAATCCTTATGAAATAAATATAGCTCATTTTAATAGTCCAGGATTAATATTTTTACCTTTAAAGATTGAAAAATAGAGCTCTTCTTAGATTTGATACCACACTTGTTGATTTTCTAAAAAAAATTAGAAAAAAAAAGAGAGAAGATAGTAGAAAAAATAAACAGTGCTTTCAATCTACAACTCCTTCGACTCATCCAAAAATACGTATTTATATTAGTCAAAAGGATAAATATAATTTTTTAAATAAGAAAAAAATCAATCATAATCTAATAAACCTTCTTATCCTCATCTATGTATAAAAAAAAACTAATAACTCATATCTTAATCTAAAATTCTAATTTTATTACTATTTAAATTAATTTTATAAAAAAGTGACATCCTGAATCTAGCAATCATGAAATTGATCAAGAGTGAGAAAAGAAGGCCCTCGGTTAGGGAAGTGCTTTGGGTTACTACCACCTCCATTCTGGGAGGGTGGTGAAGTAGGGAAGGTGAGCTTGAGTCATTGTTAGCGGATTAAGGAGGCTAATATGGAGGTGTACATCTTTGACTGCAAGCCAACCAGCGTGAGAACCAACACAACGCACGGTACGAAGCTCAGTGAGTGGGGAGAAGGTGAAGCAGTCCAACCTGTTCGAGATCCAACACAACGCCTGCCAGGAAGCTCACGGAGTGGGTAGTAGGTGAAGATATGACCATACGTTGGAGATAAAGAATGCGCAAGACCCACTCTGCTCACCATCCTCGCCAGGTAGGAGAAGACGTGGAGAGGGGACGACCATGGGCAAGACTGCAAAACTCCAACCCCTGCATGTAGCTTCAAAGCAAACACGGTGTGGGATGGGAAGCTCTTCGCTAATCTTTGTCAAGAGATCTATTGAGAGAAATAAACAATCAGGGCTATCAATGATGGTTTCTGTCTTTGCTTGTGGCATTTCTTCTTGGCTTAGGAGAATGAAAGGCCTCCCAGAAGAAGAAGAAGAGATAACTCGCAAGAGATTCTTATTGATTTTTACTTGGGTATAAATAGATACGTGTATTAAATTTAAATGATATGTTGCCTAATATATCATTTATCTATTCACGCTATGATCACAGTTTAAACGATGTGTTCACACTCAATCCAGTAATACTTGGCAAGTATCATCAGTTTTGGTATCGGACCTATTTTGATAATCTATCAAATCGATACATATCGATCATAACTGATGTATCATATGTCGATATGCATGATATTTCGAAGAGGAAGAAAACGAGAGATAAGAGGAAAAAGCAATTAAGGTAGAAATATCGGTGGAGGAAGAAGTGATAGAGGAGAAGGAAAAGTGATGGTGGAGAAAAAGAGATAAAGAGTGTTTTTGGAAGAAAATGGAATGCGGTGACAATAGTGTTGATAGCAGTGTTGCAGTTGTAACGTAATGAAATAATGATACCAACAATAATAACGGTGAAGTAGCGATAGTAACAATAATGATAACGTTATACGTGCGAGCTCACGTTTAATTATTATTATAGATATAGATCGAATCGTTCAAACTAGTATATATCATCCATTTCGTATTATTTCGGGTGGTACAACCATCACTAATATTTGTAAGATAAATATTAGGTAAGATCATCCAACGACCTTCTTTCCATGCTAGCTCTAAGATTAATGGTTATAATAAAATAGGCTCTAAAATTAATAGCCTATAATGGAGAGAATACATAATAGCCTATAATGGAGAAAATACAATCTCACCTCTTGTATATATAAGATTTAAATGATGTGTTGCCTAATACAAAGAAAATATATTCGCACTATGTTCGATATTCACATTATATTCATACTATACAAATATTCATTCGTACTTAATCAAGATATATTCACACCTTGGTAATATAAATATTTTCTTAATCGATCAACACCTTCTTTCTAATTGATGCTTCTACCTTAATATGTTCCATATGTTGGTGCAACCATTGAAAAATATGAATCTTAGAATGAAATTGAAGAAACTTGTAAATATCTTTGTTTTTCTTAATTTATAAAGCCTTATATGCTACATATCTCACCCATCATTAGTTTTTTCCTAATTTATTTACCCTCGCTAGTCACTAAATGCTTCCTACTATTAAAATACTTGATACGAAATAATATTTTTAGAGTCTTGGAGAGATTATGATAGGTTATTTCTTCTCTTTTTAGGATGACGAAGAATCAATTATGAATTTTATCAAACTTGATAAATAACCTCAAAATGAATCCATATGTGAAAAAACTCATGGCATAAGTTACTTAAATATTGAATTGATAGGTAAGGCCTCTGAGTCTCTTTTAGTGAATTGGAATCCAAATGTGATCACAAGAATACGGATTGAATTCAACCAGAACATGATTGACCCATCTGAGAATCCTTATAAGACTAGTCTAGAATTATCCTAAATTGATTTAGTTTGGACATTGGACATAGTTAGGTCTAATTTGAGTCAAACAAGTTTGAACTAGTTTAGATTAATTTACAATCATCATCAAAACCGGTTCAATTTAGATTCAATTTAAAGGTTAATTGGGCTCAAACACATAAAACATGTTAAAAAAGAGTTAAAACTCATAAATGATCTATTAATAACTTAAAACTCATAAATGATATATTAACATCATTAATATTCATAATCATACCTTAATTAATCCTTAACTAGCTTGAACCCTAATTGAATCAATCCAATTGATTCGAATCCTGAATTCAATTAGAACCACTCATCCTACAACTTGTCTAGAATTATCCTAAATTGATTTAGATCGGACATAGTTAGATCTAATTTAAGGGTCAATTGCGCTCAAACTCATAAAACATGTTAAAAGAGAGTTACTGAACGAACCAAAGCCAGAATACGGAATTGTAAAAACTTAGGGTAATGCTGCGAGCCAACTGATTCGGGTCTTATAGCCTTGGATTCGGGCTCAGTCAGTGTCTAGCTATCGGGTCAAGTTCTCATCCAACCCACTAAGACTCACACACACAATGCACACGAACAGGGACTCGACAAGGACGACGATTGGGCTGGCTGTGCGCTGAGCCGTAGTCGGCAGGCCACAAAGGGGCCACACCTGAATGGGTTGTGCCGTCAGCTCAATTATGGTTTGTTGGACAGAGTCGAGCCCGTATCGCTACTACACCCACGTCGATCCTGTACTGAGTTCGAGTCGAATCAATGCTTAACCCACGTCGAACGTCCGTCGAACCTATCGAGCCACGGCGTCTACCCACTAAGCCGACCACTCACCTTGACCCCACCCGGGTGAATAAGGTGCTGCAGGTCATCGACTTGGCTAGTCCTACCCATGCTCCTTCACCGTAGTCGCCCGTCGCACACCGCCATCGCCCGTCGTTCGCCGCAGCCACTCGCGTGTTGCTCGCGACAATCGCCCACATACAGCTGCACCTCTTCGCTCGTGAGCACCGAGCCCTCCTCCACCTTCCCTTGCTCCTGTAAATGGAACTTTGGAGAACCAGAGCAGGGTAAGCGATGGAGAGAACGAAAAGTGAGAAGAATAGAGAAGTAGGGAGAAAGACGTTTGAATGTTGACTACATTCAGCGGCACCCAAGTATCTTCATCATCGCAGCGTTCGCTGCTTGTGCTTGCGCCGCCGTCCGCACGAGGGGAAGTTTCATGCTGCGTTCCTCATTGTGCGGCTCCCACCGCTACCCGCGCCGCTTCACCGTAGTTGCCCTCCGTAGGCCGTAGCCGCCCGCGTGCTGCTCGCCGCAGCCGCTCGCGTGCTACTCGCTGCAGTCGCCCACCGCAGCCGCACCTCTCCGCTCGCGGGAAGCGAGCACTCCACCTTCCCTCGCTCCTATAAATGGAGCTTCTGGGAACAACAGCAGGGAAAGCGATGGGGCGAAGGAAAGGTGAGAAGAAGAGAGGAGAAGTAGGGAGGAAGACGTGAGAAAGATCTCCCACTGCTCCAACCCAAATCCAACCGAGAATTACTCGACGTTGAAGCTTCTTCTCCGGTGAGACTCAGCCGGTCGGCCACTGTGCTCTTGGCAACAACCGCAGAGAAGAGGAAGTTGACCGTTGCTGTGGTCAACTGTGATCGACTCTGGTCAACACTAGTCAAAAGTTGGTCAACAGGGGTAATTTTATAATTCTATGTTATTATCTGTTTTTGCTATATTTAGTAATTTTTTTGGTTTTCTGGGAAAATCGTCATCGTGTTGACTTCTTTTTTGTACGATTTAATTTTTTTATTAATGACTTCATAACCTACTAATCTTTTCAACATAATTTTTTATTAATTAAATCTTATCTATTTCTTAAATTAAAATGAGTTGATTTAAGTTTAAAACTCCATTTTAATCATCCTATCATCAAATCCAATTAAAATAAATAAATATTCTGTTTAAGATGAAATATATTCATAATTATTAATTAATTTTAGAATTATTCTAAATTTAGTGATTTTGGGGGGATTACAATTAATATTATTTGGTTCTATTTGATCTTACTTTGGTTGCTGTGGATGTTTTAAGGTCCTATATCATGTGTTATTACACTTTCCAGCATAAAATATATGGTATGGATGGACATCTAATAATGAATGTATCTGTATGGATCTCAGTTTGCTTGTTTTCTAGCTCTTTGTTGATGACTCCTTGTCGCCTTGCACATTAACTCAACTGTTCTTTATCACAGCAGCAATATTTGTGGGTAATTAAACACATCAACTATGCACACTATCTTGTGTTCTTTCTCGTTCTATGTGCTTCATAGCTGCGCGTAATTGCTCAGTAATTGTATCTTCCCCCGTCCAATGCTACTGTTCACGCATTGGGTGCCTGCGAAGAAAGGTTGCAGGCACAAAGCAGAAGTGTTGTTCTTCGTTTTGGGTGGGAGAGATGACTCCGCCCATTCTTCACCTCATGTCATGTCATGAATGATGTGAAATAATAATCTCGTGCCTCAATTCTCGGTGCTGTGCCCGGAAAAGCTTGTCGATACCCTCCTGTTCTTTCTGAAGGAACAGTCACATGCCATGAGATGGGCTTTCCACATCACTTTTGTTCTTCTCAAGAAAATGATGTTGGGAAACTAAATTTGACTGTATTTGTCGCCGTTTGTTTCTCCTTTAATCTTACTACTGCTCACTAATCTCTCATCTTCTGTCGTTAGATTGCTTCCCCTCATGTGTTATGCTTTTATGAGGAAGAAAGAACACAGAGGTCAATTTCTGGCGTTGTGGAGACAACATGAATTGGTTTCACTGCATTGGGAAGTTTTGCTTCATGGAAGAGGAGAACATAGGATGATGACAGGAGGGTTGCTGCAGAGAAGAGGGGTCCCAAAGCAGTCCACCAAAGCCTGAGATGAGAGGAGGGTTGCTGCAGGAACCCTGCCTCTGAAACCCGCGTCTTCCACTCGCTTCGTCTGTTCCTCAGATGTCGCCTCTCCTTCCCCCTTTCTAAGAAGAACATACAGCCACTCTCTTCTGCAAAACCAATCCTTCTACTCCATCTACTCTGTTTGCACTTCTCCTGTCCTCTTTCCGTCCCAAAATGCCTCCTTTGGCTTCAAAAGTTTCTCCTTTTCCTCTGTTTCCTACTCTGGCATCCTCATCCATCTTCTTCTTTGTCTGCCTGTCTGTGTTCTTCTCCTTTTCTTCCTCAGAGCCGATCGCAGCCGACGTTATCCTCCTCCTCGACAAAATAAAGCCCGCCCTCCAAGGCTCTGCCGCCAACGCCGAGCTCTCCTCTTGGAATGCCTCCCTCCCCCTTTGCCTATGGCGCGGTCTACGCTGGTCTGCTGGAGGCGCCGCCACCGCACTCCGGTGCGAGGACGACCCGGCCGTCCGCTCCAACCTCAGTCTTTCCTCCGACCCCTCCCTCCACCTCCTCTCCATCCGCCTACCTGCTGCCGCCCTCGCTGGCTCTCTCCCGCCGGAGCTTGGCCAGTTCTCCTACCTCGAGTCCCTTTACCTCAGTGTCAACTCCCTGATCGGCCCCATTCCCCTCGAGCTCGGCAACGCCCCCGCCCTCGCCGACCTTGACGTCGCTGGCAACATCCTCGAAGGCGCCCTCCCGCCGTCCATCTGGAACCTCTGCGACCGCCTCGTCTCGCTCCGCCTCCACGGAAACAAGCTCTCCGGCGCCGTTCCCGACCCTGCTGAGCCTAGTACGAATTGCGACAAGCTTAAAATTCTCGACTTGGGCAACAACCGATTCCAAGGGCCCTTTCCTAAGTTCATCGCCGAGTTCCGTGAGCTGGTGGAACTCGACCTCAGCAGCAATAGCTTCTTCGGCTCTGTCCCGGGCTCGCTCGCTGGGCTCAGTAAAATAGAAAGATTGAATCTTTCGTACAACAGCTTCACCGGGCCATTGCCAGAGTCCTTCCGGAAGTCCAGGTTCACGGCGGAGGCGTTCCAGGGGAACAATCTGGTGATCTGCGGTCCATCGACGGTGGGGAAATGCGGCTCAACTTCCGGTCTGACTTCCAGATCCATCGCCGGAATCGTGATTGGTTCGCTGGCTGGGGCAGTGGTCCTTGCGTCGGTGTCCTTTGTTTGGGTACAGGCGAGGAAGAGGAGGAACATGGGAAAGAAGGCGACCGGAGAGGAGGGCTTGGTGTTCGAGGAGGACGGGACCGACGGCGGGGATGGGAAGCTGATGGTGTTTCAGGGCGGTGAGCATCTGACGCTTGAGGACGTGCTGAACGCCACCGGGCAAGTGATGGAGAAGATGAGCTACGGGGCTGTGTACAAGGCGAGGCTGGTCGACGGAGGCCACATTTCTCTACGGCTGCTGAGAGAAGGCAGCTGCAAGGATCAAGCTGAGTGCGTGCCGGTTATCCGGCAACTCGGGCGAGTTCGGCACGAGTACTTGTCGGCGCTGAGAGCTTTCTACCAAGGGAAGCGAGGCGAGAAGCTGCTCATCTACGACTACCACCGCAATAGAACCCTTCATGACCTCCTTCACTGTCTGTCCATTGCCGAAGATATCCAAGAATTACCTTCTTTCCGATCCAATGACATCTAAAGCTCACAACTTTGTGTTCTGCAGACTCTCGAGGGGGAAAGCCGCTGTTGAACTGGACCCGCCGGCACAAGATAGCGCTCGGTGTGGCAAGGGGACTCGCGCACCTCCACGCCGGTCTGGAGACGCCCATAACCCATGGAAACGTGCGGTCGAAGAACGTGCTGGTGGACGAGTTCTTTGTGCCGAGGCTCATCGAGTTCGGGCTGGAGAAGCTGATGGCTCCTGCCGTGGCCGACGAGGTGGTGTCCGCCGCGAGATCGGACGGCTACAAGGCGCCGGAGCTGCAGAAGATGAAGAAATGCAATGCAAGGACGGATGTGTACGCCTTTGGGATACTTCTGCTGGAGATCCTGATAGGCAAGAAACCCGGAAAGGGGACCGTGAGGGACGGCGACGTGGTGGATCTCCCGTCACTGGTGAAGGTGGCGGTGCTGGAGGAGGCGACGATGGAGGTATTCGACGCGGAGGTCTTGAAGGGGGTGAGGAGCCCAACAGAGGAGGGGTTGGTGCAGGCGTTGAGGCTGGCGATGGGGTGTTGCGCTCCGGTGGCGTCGGTGAGGCCGGACATGAATGAGGTGGTGAAGCAGCTCGAGGAGAACCGGCCCCGGAACAGGTCTGCTCTATACAGTCCCACGGATAGGAGCGAGAGCGGGACACCATTCTGAGGCCAATCCAAGTCATTTGAGCTCTTCTGGTTGTCCTTACAAAGGCAGGATTTTGATACGGTGTAAGAGACCATGGTGTTTTAGCAACTGTGTTTGTTTAGATGAGGGTAGGCATGCAAAATTATTAATCCGTTATGGTTCCTAATAGTTAATTTGGATCTTTAATATAAAGTTCTAATCTCATTATAAAAAATTATTCATATACGGGCTACTTCCCTAACCAACTCGAGTTACTTTTTAACTTTCAAAAACTATTGTTAAGAAGTTATTTTTTAATTTTCAAAAATACTCTTACGAATATTTTATGAGAGGCAATTTATAATCTACCCGAGCTGTCTTTTGGACTTTCATGAATATTTCTATGAATATTTCATAAGGAAAATATAATTGACCCGAGTTGTCCTTAAACTTTTAAGAATATCCTGCATGAGAGGTAGCTAGGCAGTTTGATAACTGACCTGAGCTGTCTTTTGAACTCCTATCTATATGGGCAAGTGGGCTTCCTATGTCTTTATCTTCCTATAGGACTTATGTAGCATTGACATGGCAAGTGATGGCTAGCTGATTATATATTTCTTATCATTTGTCTCATCCCAAATGTATAGTTTGAAGCTTTTGGAGTTCGAAGCACATTGTTTGATTTTTTTTTTTTTTTTTGGGTACGGGAGCATTTAAGATTTTTGTCAATCGAACAAGTTTTTTTCAAATTAGGCTTATCAGAGATATCAGGCCTTGCATCTTCGTCATGATAGATTGTACTTAACATGAGTTAGATTTTTCTCGACTTATGCACCTCGGACGTCTTTTACAAATATTCGAGAATATTCTTGCAAATATTAAAAAATATTCTTGCAAATATTCTGAATGGGAGGTAGCTAAGCAACTCGGTAACTGACTCGAGTTGTCTTTTGGACTCCTATCTATATGGGCAAGTGGGTGTTGAGTTTCGTAAGCCTTTATCTTCCTATGGGCCTTATGCAGTATTGACATAGCAAGTGATGGCTAGCTGATTATATATTTTTTTATCATTTATCCTACCGTGAAGGTGTGCTTTGGAGCTTTTGGAGTTCGAAGCATGTTTGGTTTTTTTTCTTTTTTAGGGTATAAGAGCATCTAGAATTTCTTTCGACGGATCAAGTTTTTTTCGAATTAGGCACCTCAGAGATAATAGGCTTTACATCTCCATCATGGTAGATTATATTTTTATATAATCTACGAATTAGGATTTTCTAACTCACTTATCTTAGGCTTACTTCGTATGTGCTTCTATCATAGTGGGTTTTACTTAGTGCATGTCAGATTTTCCTTGACTCATGCGTCTCGGGCACCCTTTGGCTTGATCTTTTACTATAGTGGGTTTCTTTTATGAGTTGAGTTTTCTTGACTCACGCACCTTAGGTATACTTCACCTTGTACTTCCATTGTACCAATTTTTACTTGGCGCAAGTCAGATTTTTCTTGACTCGTGTGCTTCGGGCACCCTTTGGCTTAATCTTCTATAACAGGTTTCTTTTTATTCGGGTCAGGTTTTCTTGACTTGTGAATCAGATTTTCTTCGACTCATGCGCCCTTTAGCTTAATCTTTCGCAGTAGCAGGTTTCTTTTTGCATGGGTTAGATTTTTTTGACTCGCGCATCTTGTCGGAGCAATCCCACGTGGACACTTTGATTCAATCATGGAGAGTGGCTTCATCGTGAGAGGGCAAAAGATTGCTTTCCCCGATCGACACCACATGATCAAGGGTTCGATTTCGACAAGTAGGGCTAAGCATATATTCTTTACATCCTCCTCAATTAGCATTTCAATAATGAAAGAGAGAGAGAGAGAGAGAGAGAGAGAGAGAGAGAGAGACGCTCGAGGAAGACTCCTTGATTGGTGCTTTAGCATCGAAAGAGAGAGGGAGATTTTCTCATATCCTCCTCGATCAATACCCTGACGGTAGAGGAGAGGGAGATTTTCTCATATCTTCTTCAGAATGAATGGGAGAGAGATTTCTTCCTTAAATGATATCTTAGTAATAATGAGGAAGTGTTCCTTTGATATGATCTTGAAAGGACACTTGCACAAATCTTGGGAGGAGAGATATCATCCTTTGTCTATAAACCTCCCTTATTTTATTTAGTGAGGCTCATTCAACTACTCGAGTCGGGAAGCTTTCTTTTCGGCTTCGATTCCAAAAGGTAAGTTGATCCTTAGGTCATCTAGTATCTAGCTTTTGCAACTCAGGTCAAGATGTCTCTCTCCTCTCGCAAGAGTTCTTCTCAATTGTGAGGTTTTAGTATTAGTAGTGTAGCAATTGTATTTATTTAGACGAGGGTACACATGCTAAATTCTTAATATGTTATGATTCATAATAGTTAATTTAGGTCTATAATATAAAATTCTAATCTCATTATAAAAATTATTCATATATCCTATCAAGAAAAAATATCATTAACGTCTTCATTAGCACAACTTGACCCTCATCCGTATGCGAGGAGTCATTCAGAATAGAGCATGGTCTCTCTAGACTCGTTACCTACACACATACTAAGGTCAGGATGAGCTTCCCGAGTAATCCCTCCGATACTTAAGTCAGTACTAAGGCACCTCTATCCTAATCAAGAGTTAAGGGTGCGTTTTTATACTGAACTTGAGGAGAAAAAAAATATTTCATAAAGATTCTACAAGGGAGGCTATTCGTAACCGACCCAAGCTGTCCCTTAGACTTTCGAGAATATTCTAATGAATATTCCATGAGGGAGGCTGTTCGTAATTGACTCGAGTTGCTCTTGAAATTTTAAAAATATTTCTATAAATATTCTATATGGGAGGCAGTTTGTAAATAGTTCATAATCGACCTGAGCTATCTTTTAAACTTTCATGAATATTTATATAAATATTTTACAAGGGAGGAAGTTCAACAACTCAGTAACTAACCTGAGCTACCTTTTGAACTCCTATCCATGTGGGTGGGAGGGTACTAGGCTTCCTAGACTTTATCTTTCTATGAGCCATACGTGACATTGATATGATTAGGGGTGACTAGTTGATTATATATTTTCTATCATATCCAAAAATATTTATTAAATATGACCAATGAATTTAATGTCTCATGCTACAAATCTCTCAAGGTTATTTAATTGATTGATGGATTTAGAAATGAATTTCTTAAATATTATTTGATGCTTCATGACAAATCCCTCAAGGTAAGTTTTTCTCATGTCGTATGTTAAACTAGCGCTAGATAAATGCCCGATATGGTTAGCGAGTCCGAAGTTGAAAAGATTTATTTTAATCCTCGATTATATAGATCTCTTCTATTTGTAGAGTAGCCAAATGAATATTTACAAATAAGAAATATTTTAAAGAATATTCTTTCCATCTAATTTAGTCTGTCATATCTTGTAGTCAAATTTTTTTTATTTAACATGTGCATGGCATATTTTCGACAGAACAATTCAAAGTAATATACGTTAATTAAATAAATTTATTTAAAATAAATTTTAAATATTTTTAAAAATTATAAAATCTAACATTAAATAAATCAAATCATAACGGAATCTAATTGCCTCCTTGTAGCTCTATCTAATGGTTGCGAGTAAGAGCCTCCCAAACATTCTCTTAAAATATGTAATAATATTGTTAATATATCGTATAATAAATTTAGTAATATTTAATGTATAAATATCACTTAGTTATAATTAGTACCAAAAATATATAGTCATAAATATGAAGATAAGTCTTGATAACACAACTATAAAGATATTAATATCAAGTCTCATATTAGATCTCATAAAATACTATAACGTACTTTCAATAGCAAATGGATATATTTTATTTCTTACGATGGATTCTCTTATAATAGTATATCAAGTCAATCAATATTACACTTCTAACAAACAAAGTAAATAGACTATTGTCATTATCTGTCGAAGCGAGGACATATTCATCCCAACAATAAATGGAGGAACGATGTAGTTGTCATGTTTGATAGCTCACTAATTCTTGAAGAGAATTATCTTTGAGCATACTGAATCTATATATAAGAATCATATAGATTTGCTTGTCATATTAATCTCATTTCTTATATTAGTCGTAGGATTGATCTACATCCATTAATAATAACAAATCATACTAAAAGGATCATATAAGGGATTGGATCTAATAAATGCTACTCGCTGAATGATAATCACTTATTTATTGGGCAATAATAATTGAATTCATAAATCGATCTCAATAACTTAAAACTCTTAAATGATCTATTAACATCAGAAAACAGAGTGATTCAAGACCTTACTGAACCAACTTATCATTACTAGTATGGAATTATCATAAATTGATCTAACTTGGACTTGGTTTAGTTTAATTTAGGTCAAACAAGCTTATACCAGTCTAAATCAGTTTAGAATCAGAACTGATCAAAATCGATCAACTAATTCGATTCCAATTCAATTTAACGCTCAATTGAGCTCAAACTTATAAAATAAGGTTATTGGTCCAACTCATAACTAATCCAAAACATCGCAGGCCTGAAATTAGATTGGAACGGATCAATACAGTGATGGGCCGATCGTGGATCAGCCCATTGAACTCACATGCTGGACCGCTGGCCAGTCGACGAGTAGTGGGCCTGGACGGTCCGAGCCTGCCAAGCCGTTGGCCTGATAGGCTGCGCTGGCCTGGGCCTGTCAGCCCGATAGACCTGAGTCGAACCAGGTTTGCACCCGGATCAAGCCTGTCTGCGCAGGCGGTCGGCTGGCTGGGCCTGATCAAGCCCGACGACTGGTCTGACTCAGATCTGACCTGAGTCAGATCAATTTAAATTTTGATTTTTCCTTTTTCTTTTTTATTTTTCACATAGAGTTCTAAAATTTCATAATAAATCTAATAAATAAGAGATCTAAATTCCAGACATGAATAATAATTTAATGAAAACATAAACTTGATTTGTAAATTCCTAAAATACTATTTTTCATGAATTAAAATAATAAAGAACTAATAAATCTGAGCTAAAAATTCAATAAATCATGAAAATTCCAGATACAAACTTAAAAAATTAGTGATAAATTAGATCAAATAGTCTGATCAGATTTATAA